ATGATGGCAGGAACTGGGATATGTTCTTTACCACGTTCGATATCGAAGGCGGCGAACGAGCACTTTCATGACTTCCCAATATATTAATAAACACTTCATTTTTAGCTGTGTAGCGTCCATCCGACACAGTTATATATATCAGAAAATTTTCACCGGCCTAAAAGAAAAAGCTCATGTATTATCATAAATAAATTATTATTCAAACGAGAGTTTTAATTATGAATGTATGAGAGCAGGCCTAGAGTAAATGAGCTTTAAAATATTCTAGTGCTTGCTGTATAAATTGGAAATGTAGTCTAGCTGAATCCATGTATCGATTAGTTTAATCTACTCTATAATATTATATTTCAAATATATACAATTCAACTCGTTCGCTCATGGTAATAGCAAAACCTTTATTCAAATTAAATTTGTCGCATTTTACGCATTTCTAATTTAATCGTGTGACCTACCCGTCCTGATAGGCTCTCGTTCAGATAGACGACACCTGTATTGCGATCTATACGGAAGGGCAGTTTGCCCTGTGTATTTGTCTGTTGACTCGAGCCGATGAGCGGAAGGAAGCGCGGTTCAATTCCGAATACGAGATCATCTCCGTCTGCGTCTTCGGCACGAACGCGATCAATAATCTGACCCACCTCTTCCGATTCCGAAATTCGCCAATTTCGTTCTCTTACATATAATATTGGCGGCGCATTTTGTTCCTGTGAAATTACTGAAATATATTTCAAAACCAAATATATATTATATATATGTATAGGATTAATGTATAATTTATTGAAAAAGATAGTGACTTCAACCTTTGGGGTAAGTGAAAAGCTCGATTAGCGATTCTATCAATAAATATATAATAAAAGACAATGAAATTGGTTCTGTACAAAGAGTGCAAAATAAAAGAAAGTACGTCTTCATGGCTGAGCTTCGTTATAGTCTGATGATTATATTTGCCACAATGCATAAATCATGCATATCTTTTATTTCATAAAAGCTGCAATGAGCTGATTCAGTTGGCGGAGTTTGGTAATTCACTAAACTGGCGTGCGTAACCTGTTCTTGTGTTGAATCAATCAGAATTGTATTGCATTGACTGTTTTCGTTAAGTCCATACACAGTCGCTTTTCAAAAATGTATATTTACTTCATTTGCTGAATTGCTTGTCGCACGACCTTCAGCTACTCAGGGAGAGTTCACTCAGACATACATACATATATAGAAAACTTTAAAAAATGAGCGTCTTGGCATGCATAACTGGAGAGGGATTTCCAGTTGAAAAACAAAAGTGCGCTCTGTCGGCGATCGAGAGAGTTAACATAACCGGTTTAGATCGTATTTGTGTACTGTTTGCAGTATATATGTATATATAGTTATATTGCTTTTGCCCAATATCCGTCTTGCCAATGCCCAAGCCAAAGACTTACAACTTTAATTTCATGCACGTATCTAACGTATCTACACTGGTTACCTTTTTCTTCTTTTTTTGTAATACTCACTAAACATTTTGCAAGTATTAAAAGCATTTTTGTCCCAGTCTTCTTCAGCTGGGGCCACAACAATTTTACGTCAACTATTTATTTACCGTCCACTCAAAGGAGTTAACAGCACATATTATACTGAACTTCAGATACTGAATAGTATATCTATTCAAGCGAAGAGCATATATATATATATATATATATATATATATATATATATATATATATATA